AGCTCTCTCTCTCTCTCTCTGTCTCTGTCTCTCTGTCTCTCTATCTCTCTGTCTCTCTGTCTCTCTCGTCTCTCTCTCTCTCTGTCTCTCTGTCTCTCTCTCTCTCTCTCTGTCTCTCTGTCTCTCTTTCTCTCTTTCTCTCTCTCTCTCTCTCGCGCTCGCTCGCTCTACTAATAAACCAAAGCGTAGTGTGTATGTATATATATATATATATGTAGATATGTCTATCTATCTATCTATCTATCTATCTGTCTATCTATCTATCTCTCTATCTCTGCACATGTATATGGATCCTCCGGGCGGCTCTAGTTTAAACTCTGGCTTCTTCCGGTTCCTACATAAAATCTTGGGCTTGTTGTGAATCTGACAGTACAGAACATAATAAAATTACTGAAGATAAGAATACTGCCCCGTTATAACCGTATAGTTCTAATGTACTTACAGTATAACATAGCCCCTAAATGCCCTCCGGGAGGCAAAAGCCCTCTTATATTCCAAGTAGTTTTCCTAGGTGACAAACCTTCAGGACAGCTATCTTAAAAGGAATCGTATTTCAATACATACTCCCTGCACTATCCATTACTTTTCAACAAGAAACAAAGGCCCCGCAACAGCTCCGCACTGCTGAGGATGTGCCTTCACTTTGTCTTCACAGAGATCGCTCTTTGCTCATTCCCCGAGCCCTGGAGCAAACAAAAGCCGTTACTGATCGCAGGCGTTCCCTTAAGACATGTTTCATGCCAACCCTATAGAGCCCAAAGCCCTGCATCCTAAAACCCCGAAACCCTAAACACCAAATCACTCAAGCGGACCTCGAACCCCATGCCTCGCATGGAGTGTCCGAGTGCGAGCGCCGAAACACCAGATCCCAAGCTTCCCGTGGCATCTCCACTTGGAGGATCATGGGACTTAGTAAGTAAGGTTATAAGTCCCTTAATTGGGGTCAGAAGTAAATATAAGTATAGATACCTTAATTATAACCCTACTTACTAAGTCCCATGATCCTTCAAGCAATACAACTGAGGATCTCTTGCAGGTGCCTCCACCTGAGCTTGGATTGGACCTCATGCCTGCGCCACTCACCGACGACGCCCTGTCCTGAAGAAGCTCTATATATATATATATATATTATATGGGAGGTTCTATAAACTAGGATCCCTTGTAATGCTCCTTGTCAGAGCGGCGCCTTTTATTGGGAATCTGAACAGCAAGCTGCATGTAAGCAGCTACCGATAATGTAGGCCCAAATACCTATAAATATGACTCCTTATAGGGCTCCTTAAACTACTGAATTACTAGAAGGAACCGCTCCAAGCCCTTTTCTAATTACAAGGGTTCGGATGCTCTGGCTCTTCTTCGTGTTTTAACTACGAGTGTCGGAACGTCGGGTGTCCGGGGTGTCTGAAGGGATCCCCAAAGCGCACACCAATCCCTAAATCTGTGCTTAAAGGAGCTCTTTGAAACCCGTCTGAAACCTTCTGAAAGACTCTGTGCAACTCTAGAAACCCTAAATACCCTAAACCGCAAAAGCCTTAACCCTCAAGCCCTACATCCCCAAACGCGAAAAGGCTAAATGCTCCGTCTCAGCTTTGGAAACCCAGGAGGCCCTCTCTGCAGGCGATGGGAACGTTGCGCAGCAGAAGGTCATCGAAGCTGTCATTGTATGGTATACGATAATGCAGGAACCTGATTAAGAGACCCTGGTCCTTTATCCCGAAATGATTAGATCCATAGTAGTTTCTTGATCAGGTTCCTATATTCGTAGCAGAATACTGGAATTGATATGCGCATACTATATCCCTAAGCCCTAAACCCTAAACCCCTAAACCGCTAAACTGGACTGCAACAGAAGGTCATTGAGCTGGCAAGTCGGGGCATCCGCATACGGCATCTCTTGGACTTCTACGAAGCGACTTATAGTAATCATGTTAAGCTTTCTTGCTGTTTTTTGTTTATGTATTTGTTTTTCTAAATTATTTTAAGCTTTCTTGCTGTTTTTTTGTAACTGTGTTATTTTTTTTAAATGTGGTTGTCGTTCATCTTCGTTCTGCATCTTCAAGCTGTTCCAAGTATGTTGTGGGTTCTGACGTGCAGGTTCGTCTGCAAGTTGAAGCTTACGTAAACCCCTTCTCCGTGGGTATTGGGGAAATAAGGAGATGCTGGGGCGAGAGTTTTTTGATCCGGAGCGATCTACCACACATGATGTCGTCCGCCACGCCATCATCCCCATGACCCTTCAGGGTGTGTTGCCCGCGGAGGGAAGTGAAGAAATCCTACTATGGACTGAAGATGCTGGCGTGACGAAGTTTGAGCGGCACAGCTGCATCAAGCCGACTGTGTGATGCTGTGCAGCGAGGTACCGGAGAGCGCCGTAGACCGTACCAAGTTCGCACGACATTGCCCCAAATGTTCCAGAACCACCTTCTTTGCCGTCTCAGGTCGGTGCAGCATGGGATTGCCTATGCAAGCATGGTGAACCAGCTGAAGCCCGTGTTCGCCTTAAAAATGGTGACCCATGCTTGGGGCAACGTGTTCCGTAGCTTGGACACAGGGGCATCCGAAGTAAGATATGCTTGCTGCGGCATGATTCATGGTTGCATTGTTCCAGACGAACGAACGTCAGAGCTCTGATCTCAGGCAACTTGCTGGCGGCCGTGTTCGCAGATGCTCTGGGGCAGGAGACCTATGACAAGGTGCTACAGTTGCTCGAAGAGCCGGGTTTGAAGACCATCCGCTTCCAGCTGGCGGCTTTGCATCAGCTAGACTACCCGTATTGGATCTGTGCGACTTGGCTAGGGTTTAGGGTTTGACACGTGGTGAGGGGTTTTTCCTTGTGAAGCCTGCTGACTTTGCCCGGCTGAAGAAGTGTTTGCAATCTGGGGTAGCCGTGTGGCACGAGTCCACAGCACAGTCGGCGCCTCGGTTCCTGGCATATGCGTAGTCCAGGTGTAAAAGGGTTTAGGCAGCAAGTCCAACAGAGCCCAGCCCCACCAACCATCACTGTCACACCAGTATTAAAACGGACCATCAACTCGGACATGTACCACACTCTGCGTTATTTATAGGATACTGTACGTTACACCGCTATATGATACTATTACCGTTGCGTTCTGCCGGGAATTTAGAGCAACTAATTGACGGAACCATCTTGGTAATCCTGGTCAGCCGGGGGGAGCAAGATTGCCAAGCAATCTTGGTCATTTTGCCCCACTTTCCCGCTGACTAGTTACCTTTTGGAGACCGAGATTGCAAGATTGCTGGCAATCTTGCTCCCCCCCCCTTGCCCCACTTGCTCGCCCACTAGTTTATTTTTTGGAGACCAAGATTGCAAGATTGCTTGGCAACCTCATTCAATGTTGGTCTCGGCGAGACCAAGATAGCAAGATTGCTTGGCAGTCTTGTTCAAATAGTTATTCTAGACTCCCGGCACACTGTACGATTGCTACTTTTTATGTACTATACTGTATTATACTATACTATATACCCTACCCATCTATGCTAGACTACACTTTAACCATAATGTACTAGAGTTGCTAGACTATACTCGACTAAACAACAATATTCTCATGTGCTACATGTTTACGTACACATGTATTTGTATTACATGCCCGCATATTATACATATATATATATATACAAACAAGCAAGCGAACAAACAAGCAAACACACAAACAAATAAACACAAACACACACACACACACACAACCACAAACCAACAAGCAAACAAGCAACCACGTGAACAAACAAGCAACCAACCAACCAAAACCGAACACACAAACAAGCAAGCCAGCCAGCCAGCCAGCCAG